TGGAACAGGCTGCCCAGAGAGGTTGTGGAGTCTCCTTCTCTGGAGATCTTCAAAACCTGCTTGGATGCAGTCCTGTGCCATGTGCTCTAGGTGACCCTTCGTGTGCAGGGGGGTTGGACTAGATGACCTCTAGAGGTCCCTTCCAACCTTAAGCATTCTGCGATCCTATGATTCTAAGTTCTTTGGCAACAGTAGAGCTTAAAACTATATATATATATATATATTTTATTAAGAGAGAACTTGGTGAATGGAATTCCTTACTTTTTTTCTTTATCTGTAATTTACTTCAAGTTGTTTTTGAATGCAACTCAACAACATATTTAAATGAACACAATAACAGGAAAAATTACAGAATTTTATGTTGTTTCAACCAGTGTCTGAATTCCTCCAATAGGAAACATATGGAGACAAATATTATTTTTTATTAACTTAAATGATCTAATATAGTATTTTTCTTTAATACAGATTATTGTTATTTAAAACAATTTTAAGAAATATCATTAAATGAATTACATTTAAAATATTTTTGTACTGACCTTATAAGTGGAAGCTACCTCTCCAGTTACATATGGAGGTTGTACTACAAAGCCCACAAAAGGAAAGACTCCAGTGCAAAACACCATTAAATTAAATAAAACAAATCAGTGGCTACTTAGGATTCAGGTAAATAAACAGGAAATATTTGCTTGTTGAGACTTAGATATCTTATTGTTACCCACTTTTGTGCACTAAAATTTCTCTCACCTGGTGGGCTCCCATGCCCTGCTGCAGCTGTAGCAATTGCAAAAGCAGAAGCAGGAGAAACAGAGCAGTGGCTGTTGTCAGCTGTTTGTACTGTAAAGTGAAAATAAAGATTAACTTAGGCACAGCTTGAATTTTTATATTCAGGCTAAACAACGACACTGGAAATCTTTACTAATGTTCCTATTTAGTAAACTTTTGTATTTTCTCTGTCACAGGATTTCATATTAGGGGAAAGAAAAATAACACAATGATATTTGTGATTTGAGTTTTTTTCTGGGTTGGTATAATAAAGTCTGCTGTGGATCAAAATTCTTAAGACACTGCTAAGATGATGCACAAGCATTATTCAAACAGACTAAGAAAACACTGACAAACTACTGAAAAAATGGTGTAGACTATTAACCTATTCAAACTTCAGTGATAACAAGATTTACGAATTTTCCCAGGTTACTGTCCAAGTATTTACCAAATTTTCTCTAAAGGCAGTTCTGTGAACACTGCTTCTGACTTGTCTCAGATGATCTGACATTGTTCCCCCCAAATCTTGCCATCTCACTGTAAACATACCCAATAACAAAAGACTACTAGTGGTTTAAAATTGAAGTGTTAGTTTCCATGACTTATTAAAGGCTGAGAAGATTCTGCTCCGTTTTAATCCCAGGCCTGAAATAACTGGCTTGAAATTTGGCTTATATGGTATGGCAGCATTTTAAACATTCATGGACATAGCTCACAGCTCTGTTACTGATTTCAAGGAGCTATGTGAGAGATATTCAAGGAGACCCAGCTCTCACTTTTCCTCTTGAATTGAGCAATTTATTCCAATTCTGGAACAAATAATATCTAATATCTATCTGTAAATGTTCAGTGCCACACAAACAGATACAGTCATTCCCCATTGACAATAATGAGTGTTGTGTATTTCATAATTACATATGGTGCCCAAAATAAGCCCCATCAGTAGCTGAAAAAATCTGTCAAGGTCTTGAGAATTTTGTGAGAATAGAACCAATTCAGTATTAGTCTAAGCACACCCAGTTCCAGCTCTTAAAGAGCATTTCAGCACATCCAAACTCCCAAAATGCTTCCAACTCTCATTATTAGCATGCTAATTAACTGGAATAACATTATTCATGCTCTCATGGCTTTTTTATATCAAAAAAACAAGGAAAATACAAGTAAAACACATTGTTCAGAGATTATTCACTTCTAATATCCTGAAAAGATTACAACTACAATATTTAATCTCTTTAAAGTGAGCAATAAAGGTAAGAAACATCAGTGTCTTACCTCCTGACTGCCAGTAGCGAAGATGATGTGGTGTCGAAGGGGATCTACATGGGGAAAGCCGTGGGGTATCCACTGCTGAGGTGTTTTCAGGAATTGTCCTGTCCACTGACACAGATTCCAAAACTACTGCTTTAAAAGAGTATGAATGTTAATATTGGAATGATTATTCATAATGTGCAATTAATTAAAAGTATAAATATTTTTTTCAAATCATATTCAAAGAATTAGATGATAGGTATGAGATCTTAACATAGATATGTGGCTTAAAGATGTAAACCTATATCTTCCAGTCATTTCAGCAAAAGACTTTTTTTTAAAGCACAGATTAGTTCATTTTATGTATGAACATGAAGTGGATCTGCAGAGAATATAGAGTACTTCAGGTTGATTCAGGGCTCTAAGTTTATGAACAACGATCTGCAAGAGATCTGCTTCAAATGGGGCTGTATTGGATTACAGTAGTAAGAAGAGTATACATGATAGAAAGGCTTTGTTCAAAGGTATTTTTTAAAATGGTCATTAACTAACACCACTTTATCCCAGTATTTCTATACCAAACCTAGTACTTGTGCATGCCATTTAACATCTAAAATTGTTTTTATCTAATCTGTTTCTTATAGTATTGCTTTTTTTTTTTTTTTTTTTTTGGTAAATGGAATTGCTTTCGGAAATTGTCATGTATTTTGCGTTAAGGACCCTCTGCGATAATTATCTTCTGGATAGCAAAGGACTGGGAAAGTTTTGTACCAATGATGTAACCACACAAAAGCTCATAAATAAAATATTTGATGAAAACCATCAAGTTATCAGTTTTAAAAATAGCTTGGTTATGACTGCACATTAAGTCAACCGAACATGCATGTGTAAAATGGATACCTGAACTCAGGTTTCAGACGAGAACTTGGAGAAAAGAATCTTTGTTGAATGACTACATTCAACAATATAGTTACAAAACCTTCCAATGAAACTGCTGAGCAGCACCAGAGAGCACATTACTCCACGGAGGAGCGCTTCTATCAGAAGAATAATAAAGGAATGGTCATAACTACAGATTAGCAGAAAGACAGCTTCCCAAATGAGGGAAAAGAAATCATTGTCAGAAAGCTGATAAAATACATTGAATGATATAACACTGCTTGTAGCAATATATGTAGAAATATATATATGTGTTTATACACATACCCACACACATATATTTATACACAAATGTTTTAAAAAGAAATTGTTTACAAGAACATACATTAAATAAATCAGGTTGTGGTTCCTAGTAGAACTGCTTTCCTTGCCCAGAAAACTTTCGAACCAAGAATCCACACTATGCATGACGGAAAAAATTCAAATTAGCATTTGGTGTTTCTCCTAATACTCACTTCTCCTTGGGAGACTGAATTTACTCCCCTGTGGGAGCATATCTAAGTAACGGAGGCTTCCTGATAGAAGACGGATACGATGAGCCGGACTAAGACCAAGGCGAAAAGATCGTGGGAAAGTCACCAGCTGGAAGAACACAGAAGTAGGAGAGGAAGAACCTGTAAACAAGCTTATCAGTGCAGGATAGAGGACTGTGTGCGGGCCAATCAATCATGTAAACGCCCCGATATCTACAGCCAACCTAGTACGGTAGAAGACGCGTGGACAGTAGTATGCAACCAATCGCAATGTAAGCGTACGCGTGGCTAGATGACTTAACAGAAATGTAGTAGATAAATAGAGTGCTGTAACGCGAATAAAGTGATTTCTGTTAGACTCGTATTGAAGCCTTCAGGAGTTGTGTCTGGCCTCCCACACTCCCCTTCCTCAAACATTCTACACTGGCCACAGACAAAATAAACTTCTCCTGGGGAACACAGCTGCAAACCTCTCCGTGCTCTGTGAGTGCTAATCCTTCGGCAGGATGATTCCCAAAGGCTCTGGAGATACTGCACATGCAGCAATTTAACATTTACAGGAGGTTCCTGCCATTTCCAAGTGTTCCTCATGCTGCATAAATGACACTTCAAGATCTAATAGACTAGAATGCAAAATCTGAACTCCTCTGCAGCAATGCCCGGTACTGTCATTTGGCCAGAACCTATTCTTTACCAGTTTAATTTACAATTTAACAACAATGAAGTTAGTTAGTTACATCTAAGATTACAATTACCTTTCTTTAGCTCTTTTGAATGCAAGGTCTATATATTTGGGACACACTGTGCAATCACATTGATTTCAGTTGGGTTACACTGGTGTAAAAGAAAGATTTGGCCAACTCTACATAGTAAATACTATAGTTACGCATTTTGAATGTATAGTTGTGCAATTCATTTTAAAACATTCAGCGCACAAAATCTCAACAGAAAATTATGGTCTGCTATAACCATCAACTATCAATTTGTTAAAGAATAAAATAGGGGTAAGCCTATATCCTCTAATGCTAAGCTAACTTGTTAGCTTAAATGTTTTCTTATTAAACAGTATACTACATCTTGTAAAGGCAATCTTTTTGCATAAAACACCACCAAATGTCATTCTAGGGAACTTATTTCAAAACATCAGTAGAGAGAAGTAAAATTGAGCTATATTGTCCTCAGCTTTACAGTCCAAATACCACAGGTATTTGGATGTCAGGTAATGCAGGTGAGTCAGGTGATGCAGGATCATTTCTAAACAAGTATTTTTTAAACAAAGCAGCATTTTTGCATCTTCCATTTAATGCAACAAAAAAATTACAATTCACTTCTATTCCAGAAGATGCTTGAGCTTGATCTCAACATCCCCAAAGACCAATGTGAACCAAGTACATGCTTACATACCCTTTCATACCCTTACATACCCTATCTTAGATTCCTGCAGTAAGGTTTATCTCAGCTAACTTTGACTCTCTAAAAGTAGACATCTATTTTCAAGTGCTTTACACAGTCCACAGAAGAAAACAGATGTTTTTACAGGAGCAGTTCATCTAACTTTTGGCAATTGACATGAATGCCACCAATGTAGCAAAAACATCACATAAATCATTTGTCTGGATATTTTACTCCATGTAAAGGGTATCCCACTGAGGATTTTAGTATCTTGGAGGACAGAATATTTCCACCTGCCTTTCTCTGTATCACTCTGCTGCAGTTGAAGCAGTATGGGACTGCTATTCCTACTAAAACACACATGTGGCAGCAGCAGAAAAGCAGTGGAAACTACAGTGCATCATAGCCTCTACCACAGCAGAAAGGGATGACAGAGTATTTGACATAGCTTACATTGCTGACTACTGTATTTGCCAAAAGTATTGCTTACTACTCTGCAGTTATATAATACCTCTTCGAATGCTTCTCCTCAGCTTGTTGCAGAGGTCAATGCGAGGGTTCTCCAAGCTGTCCTCTATGGAGCTGGGGCTCTGCTTGGGGGATGAGGGCCCTTTGCTGAGGTCCAGTGGCACTTTGCTGCTCGTTGGCAGAGGGGAGGTGGCCAGACTGTAGGTTGAGGTAGGATTGCTTGCGACAGAAGAAGCAGAAAGATCAAGGGCACCTATCCTTGAATTCAGTGGTGAGGTCAGTGACAATTTTCGTGTTCTGATGGGTGAGGAAGTTCTGGAGAGGGACAATGGGGGAGGAGAAGAAAATTTGCGACAAAGATGCAGTAACTTCCAATCAGCAAGGTACTCTCCTCTCTTGTTTTGACTGGTAGCAAAAAATAACTCCACAGACCTGAGAGTAAGAAACAAAAAAGCAACATGATAACAATGCCAAATAGATTGAAGCGGAAACATTTACAAACATGCATGCAAGATCTGTATGTCACTGAGCCCTCAAAGCCAGAGCAGAAAGCTGAGATAGACTTATCTAGAAACTGGCCACCTATTTAAAAAAGAAAGAAAAAGGTGGTTCTTCAATCATTTATGCAATAAAGACATTACTGATAAAAAAAAAAGTAGCAAACAAAGTTCAGATACTTCTGCTAGAAAATGAGGACAGAAGAAAAAAAGAGCTTACCTGATTGGAATGGAAGTGAAAGGCCTTCTGTATATGTCTGAAAGTTTTGCCAGTACAACTGATGCAGTAGTAAATATACAGTAGGTATGTAGGAAGGCATTCAGGAAATCAATACTCAGAAATCGCAAGTTGGTTAACCTCTCCAAAAGGCATTCCACACTTGCATAACGAATCTGGGGTACTTTTCAGGAATTGAATGTTTTGCTAAAACAGATATCAATGTCATCTCTATGAAGGCGCACATCAGATCTACACAAAGATTAAATTAAGACCACTTCGTTAAAGAGGAAAAATGATTATGGTCCAGGAGTTATATAATTTCAGTTACTTTTGTCATCACAGAAGCTGGAAACATATACTGAACTTTGGTACTTTATCAATACAAGAAAATGCTTAATTTCTAAAGAAACCTACTTCCATTCAGTTGTTATTTATGTGATAAATAGGGTCATTTTCATTTTACTGTTGGAAAATAATCTGTTTGCTGAAAAATGCACTTTTGGTTAATATGTTGATTGATTAGATTTGATCCAAATATACCAAATAATTCAAAAAGGCAATTTTTTCAGAAGTGTTAATTCCCTTTTGTCTCCTTCAGGATCATGTGGCATGCAGACTTCTAGTTAGACAAACTCTCTATAGAGTTATAGAGTAGTTGTGGACTATTCACAATTTCTTCTGATGGGATCTTGTTTTATATATAAAAGGACCCCAGAGAGCAAAATTACCCCCTTAGCTAAGCTTAAGGCTCATTGGCAAAATGGATTTAGGCTCCAAAAATTACTTAAAAAACTCCCATGATTTTTTTTTCCTTCCAACTGCCCCCCAAATTAAGGTTTGCTTAATTTTATCTAGTTAAAAGCTCAGTTTATGGAAAAATGGAATGGAAACGAAGCAAAGCATCTTTTAACACTGCCTGAGGTTTTCGAGATGAAAGATCAGATTTTCTGATATTTCAGAACAGCATCAAGACATCCCACCTACTTCTACACTTCACTAAATTGAAAACAGTTCATCTTTATTGAGTTGGGTCTTCAGAAAAGTGTCAACAAATTGTTTGGCTTATCCAAATACATTCCTCTAAAGACCTTTGACTTACTACCTTATTTTAAAAGTCAATATATGCTAAAATCAAGCAGATGAGCAAAATCTCTGAAACAGAACACTGGATTTGTGTATATTCTTAACAAATTATATATATTTTTTTGAGGATTAGCATTTCTTGACTTTGACATTAGGATCTTACTGTACTCTACATTTTGAAAACTAATAAACATTCTGTTCA